ATTATAACTTTTTGGTATTTCTATAACAACTCATAACCTAAAATCAACCTAAATATTCTATTGAACGGATTTAAGACTAACTATACCTAACGAAATATATTCATAAAGATGATTGAATTGGTGCAATATGTGGTATTTCATAAAAAAAAAACTAGAGAATAATTTCTTCTGCTATAACGTCTTTTCATTCAAACTTATCGTACTAGACTTGTGTAGTAAGATTTATATTTCTTGTATGACTTGCAAGCTATTATTTAAGAGCGAGTTTATCTAAGATGCAATCGATGATTAACTACTTGATAAAATATTATTAGAATCAAAACTAATATTTATCAATAATTGAGGTACCAAAAGTGCAATTATCATAAATGAGTTAAACAAAAATACCAAACCGACTCTCCTATATTTTGTTGTCCAATTTCACAACTTATTTACCAAAATGCCTCTCACAACTACCAATTCCACACCTACTCACTATAATCTCACTTGTAAAAGGAAAAAAAAAATACAGTTTGATACACTAAACTTTCGTTATGCATGTCGTTTAGAAATGTCGAAACATAAGTATCAAAAATATTTCGTACCTAATCTTAATTATATTTATGAAGAGCTTATTTTCACAACTTAAATCTCATGACATTCTAATCAATTACGTCAAGACTCCATAAATTATATTTACTCATTGCCCAAAAAGTTAGGTATATAAATATAAGCTTTTGTTATGCATGTAATTTAGAAAATGATCGAAACATCATAATTTGTACCTAATCTCATTTAATTGATGAAAAAGATTATTTTTACGATATAAATATATATTTTTATAATTACATGACATTAACTTTATCAATTGCATGAAGACTCTCAAGGGAATGTACTCAACTCAAATTGCCCAAAAAGTTAGGAATATAAATAATCCTAAAATGCCCCTTTAGATCTCCTCCTCCATTGATACCTCTTCCCCTTTCTCTCTCTAAAAAAGTTTGTACTTTTTATAGTGAGAGAAAAAAGAGGATTCAAGAATCATCAAAAGCTAAAAAATAATCATGGCTTTATCAAACACCTTATCATTGTCATCATCAAAATCCCTTGTTCAATCTCATCTTCTCCATAACCCGTTACCCCAACCTCGTTTTTCCCTTTTTCCGACCACCCAACATGGGCGGCGCCACCCCATCTCCGCCGTACATGCGGCGGAGCCATCCAAGACTGCAGTTAAGCAAGGAAAATGGAGTCTTGATAGCTGGAAAACAAAGAAAGCTTTGCAACTTCCTGAATACCCAGATGAGAAAGAACTTGAATCTGTGCTTAAAACACTTGAAATGAATCCACCACTTGTGTTTGCTGGTGAGGCAAGGAGTTTGGAAGAGAAGCTTGGTGAGGCTGCATTGGGGAAAGCTTTTTTGTTACAAGGTGGAGATTGTGCTGAGAGTTTTAAGGAATTTAATGCCAATAATATTCGTGATACTTTTAGGATTTTGCTTCAGATGAGTGTTGTTCTTATGTTTGGTGGACAAGTTCCTGTGATTAAGGTAATAAATATTTGATTTTTATGAACCCCATTTTCAAATTCTGTGTTTTGATGTGCTAATATGCGTGTTTTGCTGATTGTTCATGTGATTTAGGTGATAAAGATTTGATTTTTATGACCCCAATTCCAAATTCTGTGTTTTGATGTGCTAATATGTGTGTTCTGCTGATTCTTGATTCTTATTTTTATGGGTCTGTGTGAAAATTGTGCTCCTATTGTACCTGTCATAGTGTAGTTTATGCTATATATTCTATGTCAAGCTAGAGTTCTGTTTGATATCTAGAGATTGTACAACTATAGTTGTTCCTACATAACTTGGTTCGTAAACTAAAGAAAACTCAATACAGTTTTGATCTGAATGTGCATATATTTGCTATACTCAAGTGGATTGAGTTGTAGATTATTTAGGATCTTGAATAGATAAAACACAGATCATTATAATGAGCTTCTTGATTGAAAAAAGATCACGGCTTTAAGCTTAAATTGTTACATGGTTAATTGCAGGTTGGAAGAATGGCGGGTCAGTTTGCAAAACCAAGATCAGATCCGTTTGAGGAGATAAATGGAGTGAAGCTACCAAGTTACAAGGGTGACAATATCAATGGTGATACATTTGATGAGAAGTCAAGAATTCCGGATCCTCATAGGCTTATTAGGGCATACATGCAATCTGCTGCGACTCTTAATCTTCTTAGAGCTTTTGCTACTGGAGGTTATGCTGCAATGCAGCGGGTCACCGAATGGAATCTTGATTTTGTGGAGAACTGTGAGCAGGGAGATAGGTATGACAAATCACAATCTTTAATTAAGTTTTACTGCAGATTCTTTGCTTCAGCAGTCAATCATGTTTTATGTTGCTGACAAATGTCTTTTAGGAGATGAAAAATTGGAATGAGTTCCATGGTTATGCTTGGTGTATCATTTTAAAGACTTCGCCTGAAGTGTCCGGCTTTGTTGTGATGACATCGAGTGTCAATTTCAGTTGCATATTCAGCCATGCAGATTGGATTAATCAGACAATTTTAAGTCTAATATGTTTAATATTGGGGAATGATTTGCAGGTATCAGGAACTAGCTCACAGGGTTGATGAAGCCTTAGGATTCATGGCTGCTGCTGGACTCACAGTTGACCACCCTATCATGTCAACAACTGATTTCTGGACATCCCACGAGTGCTTGCTTCTTCCTTATGAACAAGCACTTACAAGGGAGGATTCAACTTCTGGTCTGTTCTATGATTGTTCTGCTCACATGGTTTGGGTTGGGGAAAGAACCAGGCAACTAGACGGTGCTCATGTCGAGTTTTTGAGAGGAGTTGCAAACCCTCTTGGCATAAAGGTATGGATAGCTTAAAGCAGTTGTAGTGCAATATGCTAACATGAGTATTACTAATCAGCTTATTCATTGCTCAACGCATTAGGCTGTTCGACTTATCTAACAATGAAGGAAAATCTTAGTAGAGGAAAACAGAATTTAGAATTTATGCATCTCTAATCACTCCGTTTACTTTTTGATTTCCCCTTATTTACTTGGGGAATCCCTAGAGTTGAAGTCACCAATTTTTTCACTCTTCAGCAAGAATCTTACCATTAAACCAGAAACGTGAGACCCATTTTCATGCGTAACCTTCTAAAGCACACCCACATTTATGTTTTATAAATTTCTTAATTGTGCCCTGGAGTTGGACATCTATGGTGACTGAGAAATATAAGCTATGGCTATGATTTCTTAATTATGCCTGATGTATCTATCTAAGCACCATTTTATGTTTCTCTTGTAATATTAATTGAAATGATTTACCTGTTATTGTACATGTGTATATTTACCATTATAAATGCATTTTCAGCTCCTTTTAACTCATTTGTGCTAATTTTGAGATCTTACCCCGTTTCCTTAGCCAACGTTGTTTACGTTAGTTGCCTAAAGATGGAAGTTTTGTTGTAGGTGAGTCAAAAAATGGATCCAAAAGAGCTAATTAAGCTCATTGACATCCTGAACCCTGCCAATAAGCCTGGAAGAATAACTGTAATTGTTAGAATGGGTGCTGAGAACATGAGAGTGAAACTTTCCCACTTGGTCAGGGCAGTACGAGGAGCTGGTCAGATTGTGACATGGGTTTGTGATCCAATGCACGGGAATACCATCAAGGCACCGTGTGGACTCAAAACCCGTGCTTTCGATTCAATCCTGGTATGTTTCATATGTGCGTCGTTTTTCTGATTATTCTTAGAAGTTAAATGGACTGAGGTGGCTGCTTCCTCATGAAATGAGAGATGCTTTTGCTCAGCGACTCTTGGTAGAAAGTTTTTATATATTTGCTTACCTGGAGGTAGATTATATTATGTGGTTGAAAGTGTGTTGTATATTTTTTAGACAGCCTGAGATTTCAACAGTTTCTATTTTTCGATCTGAAAGTTTAAAAAAGCGTGTATCTGAATGTCATGTTGTGCTAAAATGGCAGGCTGAGGTCCGAGCTTTCTTCGATGTGCATGAGCAAGAAGGAAGCCACCCTGGTGGTATTCACCTAGAAATGACAGGGCAAAATGTGACTGAATGCATTGGTGGATCACGAACAGTAACCTATGACGATTTGGGCTCTCGCTACCACACTCATTGTGACCCAAGATTGAATGCTTCTCAGTCTCTTGAACTTTCCTTCATTGTAGCTGAACGACTAAGAAGACGAAGAATGTCCACTCAACGTCTGTAGGCTTATCTAATTTACCTGTACTTTTTTAGTATGGATTCTTGTTCTCTTGGTATCCAATAACTTATATATGTGGCCTCTGGCCATCTGAGCTGCTGTTTGGATGCAATGATAAACATGTTACTAATAAACATGGCAGAGCAACTTGCCTGATGAGGTAAATAGGTTTCCTGCAGAGATCAAAGGGGAAATGATCATCAAGTAAAATTAGTCGATTTATCCGTTATCTGTTCTGTTTATTTTAGCTTGGACTGTAAGTCTAGGGTATAAGGGTGTTCAATTTTTCTTTGCTTGATGTATGAATGATACTTTGAGATACTGGTTTTGCTGTTTTAGTCTAATGTGTTTGCCTACCTTGTCAAGTTTGTCTCATCTTACTGTGATTAGATTATACTTGACAATTTCTTCCCTTGTTGTTGATGGCCTGCTCAATTCATGTTTCCATATGCTAGTCCATGGTGCAACTGATTTTGCAACAGCTACTTATACATAAACTACTAATACAACAACAAATCCAATACAATCACACAGGTGGATTTGGAGAGGGTAGTGTATACGTAGACCTTACTTCAGAAGGTAACTTTAATGCAGCCAATTTCCCTTCTTGTGCAATCAGTTTCACGAGTTGTCTTTTCGTGTACAACCAACCAAATGTTGAACATATGTGTGAACTCTACCCTACTCAGACCTCACTTGTGAGATTACACCAGGTTTGTTGTTGTGTGTACAACCAACCGAACATTGAACCATAACATAGGCAAAATGTTATGCGGTGAATATCATTTTTTGTTAATATGGTCAACTAAATAACCTCTCAACATCCAACAGGATCATTCTAGTGTTGTACAAGAGATTTTTGACCAAGGCAAATGCAAATAGGAAAGCATAAACTTATGCTAGATAGCTACTACAATGTCTCAACCAAAACCTAAATGATACACTGGAATTTTTTTGAAAAGGATGGTCTCCAAACGACAGCATCAGTATTTGATTTATGATTCTAGTGTCTGCATTCATCAGATTTTGGCATCTTTTAATAGTAAGGCATGAATCTCCCAGGCCTCCTGAACCTTGGAACTTTTCTGCAAACACGCGAAATAGTAAAAAAAAAGTTGTTGTATAACAGGGCAGTGAAAGGTTTGAGATGATCAAAATTCTCACCCGTATCCGTATGGAGAGTAGAAAATGGGGGCTGCATAAGGCCTTCTAGACCTGTAACCTCCTAAGTACGGATTGAAGCGCCCTGGACGGAACTGCTTCATCCCTGGAACATTAGTCCTCTTGGGCATCACCTGTAAATTTGTAAGAGCATCAGCATTAGAAGCTATGCACCACAAACACAAATACCAGAGGTATGATGAGGAACTGGGGATAAAGACAATTTATTTTTTTTAATTGGGAGGGGGAAATACACCATACAACAGGATCATTTTACTATATGACCAACAATATGCCAATAATATACCCCCTCACACATCTCGACTATTGCAATATGTATATGCTACATCCCACCAACACATATACTAGGTAACTCTGCCGCCTAGGCTTGTGCAAAAAGGGAAAAAATCACCTTATGTTTCTTGTAGCCGGCTGGAATTTGAACCCTAGTCTCCCAGAGTTCTCGTCCCACTTCATTACCTCAAATTTAATAAGCCATAAATGTAACTCAAGGAAAAGATGACTTGAATAACTAAAAATATCATAACTATGCATCATCAGAGTTTCAATAATTATTTTTTTTGGGAAGGGAGTCTAAATCTACCACAATATAAAGAAGTTCAACATGATTTTTCTTAGGATCGGAGCCAACTTATCTTTGAATTCCTTATAGAAGTCTCATGTTCCTCTTCTTGACGTATTTCAAAAGAATTTTTAAAGGATAGTCATTTTAAGATATAAACAACATAATGCAAACATCAGCAAGACACCTCAACAAATAACAGCAAGATCTTTTTAACTTGATTAACATTACACATAATAAACTGATAGGCCAGTTCAAGTTTCTTGCAAATTGTTGCTCCTGATTTTCCTGTTTTTGTATGTTTTCACTGGTTTATCTTCTTTTCCCATTTTGATCAGATGAAGAAATTCTATCCAGGTAAAAGAAACGAATTTTACCTTCAACTGACGTCCATGCAGTTCAGACTCATTCAGCTGGAGTGCCTCCTGGATAGCTTCTTGTTCAATGAATTCCACATATGCAAAACCTTTGGGTTGGCCAAATTTATCAGTAAGAATGGTAACCCGATTGACAGTACCACATGCCTGGAAATGCTGCTGAACTTCCTCTGGAGTGCATGCATAGTCAACCTGTCAAATCAACATGAAGTACAAGCTGGTTAGAAACATTAGTCGTAATTGCATCAGACATTGTTGAGTAGGGACTTGACAACTTAAGTAACGGAAAGCTAAATTTTTTTGCAAGGTTTGAATATTGTAAAAACTAATTCTCTAATATTTAAGTAGCAGCATACAGAAATTGGATCAGTGACATCCTTCGTGGAAGAAAATAATAGTTTTGAGCTCCAGGGCCTTCTAAGTTCTACCTACAAAGAGAATGTCCATCCAGCACAACAAACCCCCTATCTTGGCTGTGCAACACTCTTATGCTTCACGCTATCTATGGGGACACTATCCAAAAAAATTATCCGTCATAGCAACATCTACACCCGATAAAGCCCAATCAGACTGAATAGAAAGTAAGGCTGAATACAAAGTAATGACACCTCACCAAAACAGGTTTAGACCTGAATACCACGTCCACCAGCTGCCAGCAGCAATCAGACTCGGCATCTAGAATTTGCATGGCAGTGACTAGGCTCTGCGACTTACAGAAAAATAGTCTTCTCGCTAGAGTTGAATCTAATGTACAAATACTCCAGAACAAAGTGATTTTCAGAATTCTTTCATATTACAACCCCATATATTTTTTTCCATGTTCTGTCTTTTTTTTCTATGCCTCAAAGGGTTTTTCCAATTCTATCTTTTTTCAATGGGGACTTCGCTTTTGTCTTTTTTTCTTGTTTTTTTTTTATAATCTATTTTCATGACTTTTCATCTTTCTTTTTTTTTTTTCATTCTTTTTTTGATTAAAACTTTTCCACAAGTCAAACATGTAGTTACAAATGCTCCCTAAGTGAAACATATCTAAGTTCAGAACTACTCTTGTTCACCATCAAAAATATTGGTAAGAATGCCACTGTATTCAGAAAAGTGAATGTCCCTGCGATCATAGTGAGAGAAAGTCAAAGCTGGCTCTCAGAAGTATCAAAGCCAAACCAAGATGAAGACAGCATTAAGACAAGAATTGAACTGCCCAATAACAAGAAAATAAAAAGCGAAGGAAAAATAAAACAAAAAAAGATAATCATTCATGTGTTGATTAACAATGAAGTGATTGTTATGAAGGATTAATAATGAGGACATTGTTATAAATGAATTATACTTTTAAAGGGGCATTTTTGTCTGTAATAGCTTAATCCCTGTATTGTTATTCCTCATTTTATCCAACATTACATAATATAGAGTTTTCTGCATAAATACACCAACTATAGACGACTCCTTTGGTTATTCTAAGATATATGAATGAAAAGGATAAGACGTGTATGACAAAAGGTCCAGATAGAGTTAGATAATTTCATGCAATTATGGTGTTGAACCCCACAGGTAAAATACAGTAATTTCACGCAATAATGAACTCGCTCCATTAGAAAATCAAACAGATAAATAACTAACAAGCATAGATCAAGTTCTACAGAAACATGTTCAGCATAGCATGTCTGAAAAATCAATCAGCAATTGAACATTACGGATATCTGGTTCTTACATTGCCAACAAATATTGATCGTGAATCAAGTTCTTCCCGGTTTTCCTGTGAAGCAGCTGTACTTGCAGGATCTGCTAATCGAAATGATTGGCAAAAAGGATCCAATTAGAATAGGAAAAAGTAAAATACACCTTTCAATTTTTTTCTATAATACAGTGATAACTAAGAACATTATTAACAGACTAGCCAACAAATCATAGGTTGAAAAAGGACAGAATGAAATAGGTCGATTTATATTGCATGCATAAAATTGGTTAAACAAAAAATTTACAAATGGAAGAATCCATTTAATGCTATTTACATGGAAACACAATTGAAATGCTGAAACTCGGCTAGGAGTTCCACCCTCCTCCACAGTTCATTTGTGGGTAGAGGCGGAGTTGTCACTGAAACCATAGCCGTCATAGTTACCGGGTTCACAATTTTTTTTTTTATATATGTGTGTGTGTGTGTGTGTGTATATATTTAATGGATTTCCTAATACAAATACATAATTTAACAAAACTATTGGGTTCGTCTGAAGTCCGAACTCGTAACTAATATTCTCCCTCCGCCCCTGGGTAGGGTGGTCAATTTAGAGGGTGTCAACATAGCTCCAATGTGACCCTGCCTGAAGAAAACTTTAAGATATTGAAGTACCCTCTTGTCCATGCTACTAGTTTTATCACTAATACTAAGATTTTAAAAAGTCCCATCAAGATAAATTGAATCGATAACCGATAAATATCCTACAGAGACCTGCATTTTAAGCACTTATATGTTAAACATTGATACTTTAACAAGTTATTAGGTCAAGGAAGAAGCACATCCAACCATATAGCAAGAATAGACAAAGAATCTTCAGAGGCAGAGGCGGTGGATGCTACCACAGCCACAGGAATTTTTTAACACCCTATATATAAACCCCACACACTCCAAATCCACATTCAAGGATCAGCTGATCCTCTAGATTTAACAAGTGTCATCAATAAGCGACAACAATAGTCACTTATAGTATCGTCTGCTTCATTTTATATGAAACTTAAAATTTTCAGTCATGTTTCTAAATTTGGAAGCTCTTTAGATATAAACTTTTTTATATTTTACATAATGATATACTCTCTTATAACCATAGAAATGTCATGGCATGTTTAAGACCATAAGTTCTAAGAAGGTAACTTATGGTATGTGCCAAAAGGCCTTGAAAATCCAAAAAATGTTCAAACAGCAGAAACACAAGTTCTCCTCCGAAACCAAGAAAGACAAAAGCTCCCTGATCAATTAAGATAACAATACCTAATAGATCACAACTTTGGTTAAAAAGAGCAGAACAGTGTTCAATTTCTGAAAACCCAATGAAATTTCAGATAGCAAGAATACAAGAACTCCTCGAAGCAAAGACGAAAGATCATTTGATCAATTAAGATGTCAAATACTCCAAAGATCAAAACTTTCGTCTACAAGAACAAAATAACATCCATAGCTTAAAAATCCAATAAACATTTAGATTAGAGAAACACAACTACTCCTACCAAAACAAGAAAAACAATTTTTTTAGATCAATTAAGATGGCAATTGGCAAAAACCCAAAGATAACAACTTCGCCAAAAACAGCAAAACAATATCCAACTGTTAAGAACCCAATAAAAATTCAAATACCACTATACCAGAAACACAAGTTCTCCAGACAAACCAAGAAAGATAAAAGATTTATGATCAATTATGATGACAATAACACAAAGATAAGAACTTCGTCAAAACCAGCAAAACAATATCCAATTATTGAAAAACTCATAAAGTTCAAATACCACTATACCAGTAACATAAATACCTCAATCACAATTGCATAATACCTCAAAGATCACAACTTTTATCAACTAAAGCAAAAACAATATCCAACACTTGAGAATCCAATAAACTTAACATAAATACTAATCAAATAGAAAGAAATTTCAAAACAGAAGACCTTGGACAGCACATAACACAATATCCAATTGTTGAAAGACTCATTTAAAGTTCAAATACCACTATAACAGAAACACAAATACCTCAAAGACCACAACTTTAGCAAAACAAAATCCAACACTTGAGAACCCAATAAACATAACATCAATACTCATCAAAAACCCAAAAACACAATTGTCAAAAACTAATAAAAAAAAAAGAAATTTCAAAAAAGGACAACCTTGAACAGAACCCATCTCCTTCTCAACCTTAGCCTGCATCTCCCTAAGAGCTGCAGCTTCATCTTCCATCTCCTTCAATCTCTTCTTCATCTCATCCAATTCCTTCAGTACCCCACACAAAAACACAAAAACCCCATCATCAATAACATCTCAAAATTCATATCAAATGCTTATATCTACCCTCCACTTTTATCAACAAATCAAGAAAATACAGAAACAAGAACTGTAGGGAGACAACCTTAACAGCGTCATCATCGGCGGTGGCCATGTCCACGTCAGCACTGTGAGGTTCCATGTCACCTTCAATGGGGATTTCACCACCATAAACTTCATGCTCTTCTTCATCCATCTCTCCGGGGGAATTCCGGCGGAACAGATTATACGACGCCGTTTTATATGGTTTGTCCCAAATCCCCAATGGGCTTACTTTTTACTATTGGACCTTGTTGGGCCAATTAAGTGCACTATTTAAGTTTTTGTCACTATTTTTCGAAAAATCGACTTCGATGCTTTTATTGAAGTGATAAACTTTGAATATGTTTTTTTTCGTTGGAATTATTTGATTGAATCCTTAATGATGGTAAAACAATAATCAAATTAACTAACATTGTAATTGATCTAAGTTAGATATAATTGATTAAGATTTGTTTCGACTCGATAAATGAAATTATTACTAAAAAGTTATTGAAGGTGAAATTACAATTGTTACTGAATATGAAAGAAGTTAAATGAAATGGAATCAAATTAATAGGATTAGATTTATCTTTTTATGATTGTTGAAGTGAAAGAACGAAATTAAGGATTGATTCAATACTGATTTCACATTTCTATAGATACTTTGTTTTAAAACTCTTTTCTACGAGCTTTCACCACTTTTTGCTTCCTTGATGATTTTAACCTACAATCTCAAGGTTGAAGGTGGAGTGTGTTTACTATCTGACGTTTCCTTGATCTTGTCTTGATGTATTTTTTCGAAAAGAAGGATAATGACAAAAAAAAGACTATTAATCGAGAATCAAGGTTGATTTTACGTATGATCACTTAAAAATATTATATACAGAGTGAATTTTTAAAAGTACAATGAATTAAATAATAAAAAATTATATTTGTTCATTGTTTGGACTAGAAGGGGAAAAAACATAAATAACATAAATAGTATTCTCTTCAAAGAGTGCTTCCACAATAGACAGGAAAAAAAATTGTATCAATCCTCACTAAATAAGTTTAGTTATATTTTGAGTCGAGTGTCTGTTGAAATAACTTCTTTATTCTTAAAAGTAAAAATATAATTTGCATATATTTTATCTTTTCCGAGGATAGATGGTTGTTGGTGTTGTGACTGATCACGTTTAGTTATTTTAATTTTTAAGTCGAAAATACACTACATCAAAAATGATTTTTAGTGGCAATTAACTAACGGCAATAGCTTAATTGTCACTAAATATGTACTTTTAGCGGTAATTAACACTCTTTGTATATGTTCCTAAAACCTTTAGTGACATTGGATCCAATTACAATTAACTAATGCCGATAAAGACTTTAACACTCATTGTTAATGTGTATATTTATTGCCACTAAAAAGTATTTTTATTGTAGTGATAAGGCATATATACAAGTTATCCCATAGGTGGTTATTTTTAGGTAAACTACCTTTACGTGCAGTTATAATTCAAAATTTCAAACATATATATAACAATATATTTCTGAGTATTTTTCTGTTTTATTTTGTTTGTACAATAGTGTGATGAACACATGTAGTTAAATCATGTGTTCGATGCGTTTGAATTTTGCTTTTATATATGAGAGAGAGTTTGAGGTTGAAGCAAGCACGTCTTTGTTGACGTGTCTGCTTCAACACAATGATAAAAATTATTTCTTCTATTATATTTTAATATAATTAGTGTATAATTTTTTTGAAATTATGAGACCCGCTTTACTTTTATAAATCCTTCTTTTAGTTGAATTTATCTTTTTTTTTCCTTTTTAATATCATAAATTGTCCAACTTAATAAAATAAAGTTAAAAAAAATTTCATGGCTCATCAGTTATCACAATTATTATTCTTATGTCTTAATTTTCCCCACGCTCTTAATAAACTATGTTATTGCCAATTTGCCAACATTTAACTATTTTCTCAGTATCAGTTTATATGATGTAGTTTAACTATAAGAAAGAGAGATCTTTAAAATTTGTGGTCTAATATAAGTCATATATATTCGTGTAACTATAAATCATTTCTTTACATATAAAAATGTATCATTCTTTGAAACTAACTAAAAAGAAAAATGTTATATAAATTGAGATAAAAATTATATTTTTGCCTTCACCATACATTATGTTAAACCAAATTCCATCACTCTCCCTCTTCCTTAGAATACACCTCATAAGCCTTCAAAATTCTTGAAATGGAAGAATATAACTACAAAAAAAAGTTGTAACAAGAAGCTTTTTTTCCCTCAGTGTTCGGTACCTACATTGGAGCCTGACTATTCTGAATTCGCACTAGGTAAGGCTCTATTCAAGGAAAAACGCTCCTTACCAAGGATTTTTCTATACACAGGACTCGAATCGAGACCGAAAGAGCAACCCATTGCATCACATTCTTTTTTCAACACAAACTAGTACTAACTTAAAATAAACCTTTGCATAAACACATAATATTTTGTATAATATTTAAGTATATCATAAAATATCTTAGACACACTTCCTCGTTTCTCTAACAACTATTCCCATTCTTTAATTTTCTTTCCTACCTCTCAACCCCCCACACATATAATCACCAAAAAATATTATATATATATACAACACACATACTTAATTATAGTGCCAACACACACACACACAAAAAAAAACTTATAACATGGATTCTCCTATTGATGAAGTTCCAAAAAATATGTCAAAAAAGAAAGAAAGTGATCCATTAATTATGGCCACAAAAATTAATATTTCATCTGATTATAATGATATTAATGATGGAATTTATTTAAGTTGGAAGGATTTATGGGTAAGTGTGCCAGATAAAAAAGTTGGAAGAAGGCCAATACTTGAAGGGATAAGTGGATATGCTCAACCTGGTGAAGTTTTGGCTATTATGGGGCCTTCTGGTTGTGGCAAATCTACACTTCTTGATGCATTGGCAGGTAATACTTAGTCTGTCTCTAACTACATGTTCATTTCGACAAATCAAGAAAGGATAAATTTCTTTTTACTATTATACTCTCAATTAATTACTTTGAAAAAAAATATAATTTCTTGAAAATTTTAAGTTTTTAATTCATCAACTTCATAATTAATAGGGGTAAATGGTAAACTTACTATGTCAATCATTGTTTTCTTAATATGTGTGTCAATTTAAAAGTGGACAAATACTACTTTATATTGACAGAATAGATTGGGACTTTTCTAAACTTGTCGAGTTTTATTTAGTGCATATTTAAATTTTAGGTTGGTCAAACTAATTATTTTGAATTTGGTAATTTGATAGTCTTGATCGATCTTTTTAAATGATGATGTGATAAAGAGCGTGAATATACTTTCTTGTAAGCGCATAAGAGAAAGGAAAATGGATTATTTCAGAATGTGTTTTTTGTTTTGGCCAAATTAGTTCTTAATATACATTGCTTATTTTATTCATAATGTGTTTTTATTATTTGTTTCAACAATATTATGTTTCTTTTCTTTTTCTGGATTATGAAATTTAGTTGGAACTTATTTTAATTTAGCCAAATTAAGATAAGGTCTAGCCAAAAAAAAATAATGAAGTTCTAACATGGTATTTTCTATATATATATATATATATAAAAGACAAACAAATTAAATTGTGCATTTTATTTTTAATGGAACGGCTATTTAAATTGGCACAAAATAACCAACTAACAAAAACAACACATTTTAAGGGATGAATGTTTTTATTCTCCAATTTAAGTATTTATATAAATCTATTAAAATCTTAACAAATAATAGATGTGAATTCATAACTTTAAAAGTATAATGAGTTTGTTGATAAGAATTTTAAAAGTTGAACCTATTAAATTTAAATTCTAAATATGCTTTTGAAATGTGAAATATTTTGCGCACCAAACTATCTTTTTTATTGATCTAAAATGAGCTTAAATGGAGTTATATGACCAGTAAGCTCGAGATAGTTGTGTGTAGTAGTAGTAGTAGTAATTACTTTGTTGTTGTAGTCCAAATTCTTGATTGGAATATACTCAATGGTCCGACTAATATGAATTTTCACCGATTGTGTAGGCCCAACTAACGAGTAATTAAAATACTCTTCACTATGAGATTTTTAAGTTATATATTCAGTAACGAGGTTATTCTTATCGAAAGAAAGTCAATTAACACCCTTTTATCGAATACATTAAACAATATGCTTAGTTGAAATGTATGTGTTTTAATCTCCTTAAAATGTATCAATTTGACAATCCGTCTAGTTAAAATAATGGCTCCACCATTATGTCCATTTCCAAAAAAAAGTTTTTATTTTCCCACCATATATTTATATAAGTGAAATTTGAATTAGTTTCTCTCCCTAGTATTAAGCATCTTTATTTTAAATCTTAATTAAGAAAAGATTTACTTTTTTATTTTAATTATTTTTTGGTGTAAGGGTAGAAATAATATTTGGTGAATTGGTGAGCTAGTCCAACAAAATTAAGCAGCTGATTATATGGTTGGTGACCAAGGTGTCTTACTTTAATATTTTACAAAAATATTTAAGTGTACTATAGTATATAAAATCAGTTGACAAATTTCCTAGTATCGATGAGGTGAAAACTATATATTATAATAATTTGCGGGTGATATCACATTCGAAAATTTAATTTAATTTAGTATACAAGTAGGTTAGCGGCTTATCTCCTAAGCTAATTAGTCATTACTTAATTAAGTAATTATAATATATAGTGATTGGATTATTGATCAATATCAAAGAAAATAGGAATTAAGGACGGATAAATTATGTAGTCAAACAATAATTTCTCGCTAGTCATTAAGTTACATTGATCCAAGGGTAGTCACTCGAACATTTTTCATCAATAGAAAATAATACTACATAGTGCGTACATTGGTCAAAAACAACTCTTTTGAGGTATATATACTAAAATTTTGAACATTTTAAGCAAAATTCCTAGTTTCGTCACTATTAAGTCATACTTAATGATGGATTAGTGATAGATTATATCGAATTATATTAGCTACAAGCTATTTATATGCGATTGCAGGTAGATTAGCTTCAAACACAAGACAAAGTGGAGATATACTTGTCAATGGACGCAAACAAGCACTAGCTTTTGGAACTTCGGTATGGATATTATTAATTATATATATTACACGATCAGTGTAGTTTAATCTATTATATTTTAATAATTAATATGATAATGTTAATTGTTTGTTTACATTATCGGTGCATATATAAAACTAAAATTTACTTCTTACGAATATAATTTAAGTTATATATGCATATAGTATAAAGATCTTTATTTACATTATCAACATAATTTAATCGATCAGAGTTCATAACATGTTACCGACCTATAACCATTTAATCTAGATTATAAGTTAAAGCTATTGGGATAATTGCATTTTTTATCCCTCAATTATTGATAAATTTTAATTTTGTTCTTTATAAAAATTGATTAAGCATATTCAACCTTCAAATTACTAAATAGTGTATTTTTGAACCCTTTATACAAGAAATATACCTTAAGAGGAACTTAAAGTACGGATTAATAATGCACATAGTATCTTGATATTTGAGGGACTAAACTTGCTAATTCCACAAAGCTATCATACATAGTTACATGTAAGTATCTTTTAAACGACCTAATCCCGATTCTAGTAAACATATATTTTTTATATTGTCGGTGCATAGGACTCAAGACTCTTTTTCAACTAAGGTCAAATGCACTTAATATAACAAGAAATCACAAGGACCAAAATAGCAATATCTTGATATTTGAGGGACTAAACTTACTAATTCCTCAAAGCTATCGTACATAGTTATATGTAATTATCTTTTAAACAACCTAAATCTCAATTCTAGTAAATACAATTTTTACATCGTCGATGCATAGAATTCAAAACTTTTTTTCCCCTTCCTATAGGCCTATGTGACTCAAGATGACACACTAATAATGACAACATTGACAGTAAATATACCTCAAGAGGGACTTAAAAGTCAAAATTGGATTAAAAGTGCACATATATATCAATCAACTGAAGGTTAAATGTGTTTAATTTAACCAGAAATCACAAGGACCTAAATAGCAATATCTTAATATTTTGAGGGACTAAATTTGCTAATTTTCCAAAGCTATCGTACAAAATTACATGCAATTATCTTTTAAACGTCTTGAATCTCAATTCTAGTAAATACATTTTTTACATCGTCGATGCATAGAATTCAAAAGTTTTTTTTTTTTTTTTGCTCCTTCCCATAGGCCTATGTGACACAAGATGACACACTAATGGCAACATTGACAGTAAAAGAAACAGTATATTATTCAGCTCAATTACAACTCCCTCAATCAATGTCATTACATGAAAAGAAAGAAAGAGCAGAAGAAACAATAAAAGAAATGGGATTACAAGAAGCAATGAACACAAGAATTGGTGGATGGAGTTTAAAAGGATTAAGTGGTGGACAAAAAAGAAGAGTTAGTATTTGTATTGAGATTTTAACAAGACCAAAATTATTGTTTCTTGATGAACCTACTAGTGGTTTGGATAGTGCTGCATCTTATCATGTCATGAATAGAATTATCAAGATTGCACAACAAGATATGAGGACTATTGTGGCATCAATTCATCAGCCTAGTAGTGAAGTTTTTGAGCTATTTGATAACCTTTGCCTTCTATCTTATGGTAAAACCATTTATTTTGGCTCAAGTTCCAAAGCAAATGAGGTATGTATGTATATTGTTAGAGAACTTTAACCTTTAATATGTTTGGTACGATTAAAGTCATTTTCAAAAAAATATTTAATTCTGGTGTTTGGTTTTCGGCAAATTAAATGTTTTCAATCATAAGGGAAAATGACTTCACTTATGGCCTAAGGCGAAAGTCATTTTTCTTATAACTATCTTAACTTTTAATTTTTCCTTACTTGTTATGACAATAAAAATGTTACCTTATAACATGTAGGTCATATATAGTTATAAGTCGTAGAATCAATTAATGATGCTTGCGTTAGGGTAGATAAGACTGGCTGCATCACACTCTCTTGGAGTGTGTCCTTTCTGTAAAAATCTTGCTTGAACGCAGGATGCTTCGTACGTGGGCCATCCTTATTATTATTTTTACTCAAAGGTTTCATCAAAATGCTCTCGTACTTGCTAATATTTTTTTATTGTTTTTTTCATACTTGCTAATATTATTATTAATTTTTAGCATATATTTTCTCACCAATCTTTATAATTCACCAATTATCAAATCATTTTCATAAAAAATGACTTCTGACGTACCAAACATAGTTGTTCAATTGCAATCTAATGGTACAATATTGAAGGATTTACTAATGGATCTTCACCTATTATTTTTTGCTCTTAGTTTTTTGCGGTCAATGGATTTCCTTGTCCATATATGAGGAACCCTTCTGATCACTATCTTAGAACAATTAACAAAGATTTTGATGTAAGTTAGTTTTTTTAATTACAATCAATTATGTATTTTTAAGTAAGGAAAAAAGGTCTGAAATATATCCGAACTTTGACCGAAATTGTTGTAACAATATCGAACTTTGGAAAGACACTATTTAATAGTGTATTTTAAAGGTATGTATGTGCTCACGTGGACATCAGAAATATTGCATCATTATAAATAGTAATGTGTCTACGTGGGCACATATGTACCTTTAAAATACACAATTAAATAGTGCAGGGAGTAAAAGGTCCTCTATAAAGTTTGATATCGTAACAACAATTTCGGTCAAAGTTAAAGTATTTTTCAGACCCTTTTCCCTTTAATTAATTTAGTACAAGTTTTATGTCTTATTAATCTTTGAAATATAATATTGTTTGTTTGATTAATTTAGGATATTGAGGAAGGATTTGGCAAAAACATAATTACCTCAGGCAAAGCAATTGACACTCTTGCTATGTCATATGAATCATCAGAGGCTTGCCTCAATGTTAGGCAAAAGGTTCTCACAATTTGTCAAAAGGTAAAAATATCTTCGAAATTCATCGCTAAATAGCTCGTAGCAAATTTTAACTTGTTTTCATGTGTCTATGTAGTAGAATGGACGATTGCTCGAAAATAAGGGAAGTCAAGCAGGGTTCATCACACAATGCAAAGTTCTAACGCAAAGATCGTTTATCAATATGTATCGTGATTTAGGCTATTACTGGCTTCGATTACTTATTTATCTTGCACTTTGCTTGTGCATTGGCACTATCTTTCATGAAATTGGCTCTGATTATGGTTCAATTCAGGTAAATATTCATTTACGCTATCAATATATTTTAACTAGTTATAACAAGTAAGGTAGTTATTTTCTTTTTTTTTTTAGAAAAATACTACATTCATTTAATCTATAAATGGACAATTACCTATATATATAATAATTTTTTAAAGTCTATCTAACTTATAGAATGTTGAACTCATTAAGTAAATTAATGAACTACTGTTTCCGTCCCAAAATACTTGTCGCGGTTTGTTATTCGAGAGTCAATCTATATCAACTTTGATCGATATTTTAAGATTTTTTTTTCATCATCATATTTATATGAGAAAAAATTGCAACTTACAGTATTTTTCGTATCGTTTTTGAATATCTAAATTTAGTTTTAAAATATCAAATTAATTAGTCTTATCTAATTTAGATTCAAAAATTAGTCAAATTAACTTTTGAGAAGTGAAACGTGATATCTATTTTGGGACGGAGGGAGTAATTAAATGCACCTTTAGCACCAAGAATTGTGGACCAAGGATCATGGTGAAATTAATGCATATGACTCCTCCAGGCTTAACTAGAATTTTCAAGTTCGAGCCTTAAAATGGAAAAAATCCTGATAGGGAGTGTGTTTGATGCACCCTTTTAATGTGACTTACGCGAGATGAACCTGAATTAATTAATCGAGATCTCAAAACAGATACCAGACATCGAATGAGAAACATAGAAAAACACTTTTTTTTCAAGATGTGATGAATTTATACATTATATAATTCTTTCCCTTAATTGGCAGGCTAGAAGCTCAATGCTTGTATTTGTGGTTGGCTTCTTAACATTCATGGCAATTGGTGGATTCCCTTCTTTTGTAGAGGAAATGAAAGTAATATTCTTTTGCCCCATCTTGTCCATTATTTTTTTCTATATTATTATAACATGTTCGTTACGTTAGTATTTATATTCGATTATTAATTAATTATACGTACCATAATGATCTGATCGTGTAAATTTCAGCTTTTTACGCGAGAAAGGCTAAATGGACACTATGGTGTGGGTGCATTTGTGATTGGCAACACATTATCATCAACACCATTCTTGTTATTGATCTCTTTGGTTCCTGGAGCTGTGGCTTACTATCTTGCTGATGTTCAAAAAGGGATTGATAAATTTGCCTATTTTGTCCTAATGTTATTTGCTTGCATGATGCTAGTTGAGAGCCTAATGATGATTGTTGCAAGTATTGTCCCTGACTTCCTCATGGGAATTATAACAGGTAAATGAGCGAGTCGAGTCAAATTTGAATGAGTCACAAAGTTACTATCAGAAAATCGCTAATTTTAGACAGACGTCTCATCAGAATTTGGCTCGTCAATTAATATTGTAGATGAGTTAAATTTTGATAGATATCATAAGAAATTAGTGATTTTCTGATAGTAAATATCATCAATAAACATAATATAATCCGCCGTAAACTGTTTGGGCAGATCATATGGATTGGGTCTAAATGAGATAATTGAGTAGAAATAGTCGTAATCATGAATTTCAAATTTCAGAGGTGAAACCCCATGACAGTATGCTAGAGTTTTATCTATGAAAATTTGCTAACTCCATGAGAGTGACTAATTGATAATTATAAGGCTGAAAAATGACTATAGGTAAATTATACCTCAAAAAATAATGTGTCATAATTCAATTTGTCCAAGAAGATCAAACTTAAAAAAAAAAAAAAAAAACTAATGTACTTTTCTTAAATTCCAAATTTCAATGATTTTTTGTTGTTGTATGTGTGGTTATTGCTTGTGTCTTGACCCAATTGTTTACACTATTTTGACATGTTTCGATTCATCAATACTTTATTGAGTTGTTTCGGGTTCAATCCTTTGAACAAAGTCAATAAACATGTCATAACTTATATTGCTCGGATATGTTTTCCAAAAATACCCCCACATTCATATATATATATATATATATATCTACTTGATCCTTCAAATATAATGTCTTTTTAAGGACTCAATCCGAGCAATAACCAACCCTATTTAACTCGTGTATATATATTAGACGAACTACTTTAAAAAATGAGCTGATTTTGTCATCTCTAAATTTACAGGTGCCGGAATTCAAGGAATAATGATGCTAAATGGAGGGTTTTTTCGATTGCCAAATGAACTTCCAATGCCAATTTGGAAATATCCAATGTACTATTTAGCCTTCCACAAATATGCAATTCAAGGTTTTTATAAAAATGAATATGAAACTTTTACATATTTTACTAAAAGTGGATTGGCTATAATAGTTACTCGTGATGAAATATTGAGAGATATCTTTCAAGTAGAATTAAATTATTCTAAGTGGGGAGATATTGTTATTGTTTTTGGGATGGTGATTTTATATAGGTTAATTTTTCTTAGTATTATTAAGGGTAAAGAAAAGTTTAGACCTATGGTAAGAGGTTTTAAATATTGTTGTACCACATAAAATAGATAAATAGTTTATATATGGACTTGTAATTAGTGATATAATGTTTGAAAGTTTGAATAAGTTTAATTGGTCTTTAATTTTTACCTTTGTTGCTTTTTTAATGAAAATATTCAGACATATTTTGGTTGACATAAGTTCTATAATGTTTTTATCTTCGAAAGCTGAAAGCGGTATAAATTGTATAGTATTTTTATATTGAGTGTTAAAAGTTTACTGTGTCTTACATAACTTGTGTTGATGTTGTGATATATATGCCTAGCTAAAGGTAAAACTTTGCCTAGCAAAATCTAAAGTTATGTCGCATTAAAAATATTTAAAGGATAAAAATTAAAAATCGACTCAAAATATAAGCATTATTTGTGCGAATGACCCAAAATTAAATTCTACCCAAATAAGATATCAACTGTCAGTAAGGTTTTGTCTTAATTTTTGAATGAACCATTTACTTGTTATTCTCACGTTTTACTTAAATGTAATTTCATATAATTTTTCAAATTCTCAAATCACAAAATAAAAATACACAAAAATTAGAAACACAATGTAAAAATTAAGAATAATGTGCAGAATCAAATATCAAGTAATACCAACAAATAAAATAGAACTTAGAAAATCATATAAATTTGCAGTAAAATTAAAGAATAGATAATTAAATAATTAATAAAACTATAATGTTTAATATCAAACTAATCCTAAACCTAAACAAAGAAAAAGACAAAACACAGGGGACTGGGGGTAACATTAATTAGTTGGTACTTGGTAATAAAAGAATCCTAAATGTGGAAATAATAAACCTAACGTTGAATCTTACTACCTCCGTCCACTTTTAATTGTCATAATTTTCTTTTTATAGTCAAATAATAATAACTTTAACTAACATTTTACGTACTATGTATTTTTTCATCATATTGATATGCAAAAAATTGGAATTTATAGTACTTTTCGTATAATTATTGAATTTTGTTTAAAATATCAAATTAATGTAATCTAATTTAACTTTGAAAATTAGTCAAATTGACTTTCGAAAAACGTAACATGGTAATTAAAAATGGACAGAGAGAGTAGTTAGTTTTAGATTCTTAAATATTAAAAAATTAAATTACGAATAAGGAAAGATTTAATAAATTAGTTGATTTTTAAGTCCTAAATAATTATTAGAAAACTTATTAATGACAATTTTATCTATAGTAGATTAAGGGCAAAAAAAATTATAAGCACCTTCATGTTTTAATATAATATAGATTATAATTATAATATTGAGCAGTCTTTTCTTATCCAATAAAAAATAACTAAAATTTTCTTCTATTAATTTAGGTTCTTTTTTATCCCCCCAAAAAATAAAATCCCCTGCCTCCCTTAAAATCTTCGTTCAAACCCTAATACCCAAAAGACATTCCTCTGAGATTTTCCTTATGCAAAATCAGTAAGTAAGTATGGAAACACTCTTAAACTTGACGTGATTAATCGTTTCATTTTGAACTACATGTGATTATTCGTTTCATTCTGAACCATTGACAGAGTTTAACTAGATTATTCGTTTCATTCTGAACTACTCTTTTAGAAGTGTGAGACTCTTGAAAACAAAAAGAAGCTTATCAATAGTTTGAAAACGAAACTAATACTGATTCTCCGTCTAATTTACCCATATTATTCATTAAATTTCGATTTGATACATTGTTTATTGGTCGAGTTGATGAACAAGAGCGAGTTCATAGCAGATCACTACAGATCAAACTTTTCCATTCAGCTACATACATGTCACCGGAAAAGTTTTACCGTGTTTTGGAAGATAATCTCTGCAAAAAATTATGGGGTGAAGTGTTTGATGAGAATGATCGTCGAGTTTTCATTGAAGATATGATTGAAGAAATTCATGAAATTATTGGCGATGAGTGTAACAGGGGTCGCCAACGCTTGGATGTGAGCGTTCATATGATTTTATTCGTATCAGACTTAGTGAAGCTGATATGGAAAATGGAGAACGATGAGAATGCTGATTGTATCATTTGTTTCGAAGAACTTGGAAAGGAGAGGGAGAGAATATGCATGCCATGCTCACATATGTTTCATGAAGATTGCATTACAACTTGGCTACAGATCGGACATTCTTGTCCTATTTGTCGTTATGATCTCCGAGCTATATAAGTATAGAATTTGAGCTAGAATAGATTCATATGAAATAACGTATTATTAATGTACTGTTCATTTTTTTATTATTTTGAAGCCACTTTTTTTATATTTATTGTTCTGTCCTGATATGTGTTGTTAATTATGTTTTGATTATTGTTCTTTTTGCTCTCTTCTAGTAGGCTGTGCACTCTTTCCTTCTTACCTTGGGATCCATGAATAAGTTTCGTGTTTAGGTTTCTAACAAGTTATACATTGTACACATTTTATAATGCTCCAAGTTGCCCGATAACGTTTTCTGACTTTAACCTTGAGGACAAGGTTCTTTTGAAATATTGTTATACCACATAAAATAGATATATAGTTTATATATGGACTTGTAATTAGTGATTTAATGTTTGAAAGTTTGAATAAGTTTAATTGGTCTTTAATTTTTACCTTTGTTGCTTTTTTAATGAAAATATTTTGATTAACATAAGTTCTATAATGTTTTTATCTTCAGAAGCTGAAAGCGGCATAAATTATATATTGAGTGTTAAAAGTTTAATGCGTCTTGCATAACTTGTGTTGATGTTGTGATACATATGCCTAGCTAAAGGTAAAACTAGATCTAAAGTTATGTAGTATCAAAAATATTTGAAGGATAAAAATTAAAAATCGACTCAAAATATAAGCATTAATTGTGCGAATGACCCAAAATTAAATTCTACCCAAATAAGATATCAGCTATCAGTAAGGTTTTGTCTTAATTTTTGAATGAACCATTTACTTCTTATTCTCAATTTTTACTTAATGTAATTTCATATAATAATAAACATAATGTAGAATCTTAGTTAGTTTTAGATTCTTAAATATTTTTTTTAAAAAAATTATGAATAAGGAAAGATTTAATAATTAGTTGATTTTTAAGTCCTAAATAAATATTAGAAAACGTATTAATGACAATTTTATCTATAGTAGATTAAGGGCAAAAAAAATTATAAGCACCTTCATGTTTTAATATAATATTAGATTATAATTATAATATTTAGCAGTCTTTCATTATCCAATAACAAATAACTAAAATTTTCTTCTATTAATTTAGGTTCTTTTTTATCCCCAAAAAAAAATAAAAATCCCCTGCCTCCCTTAAAATCTTCGTTCAAACCCAAATACTCAAAAGACATTCATCTGAGATTTTCCCTTTTCAAAATCAATAGGTAAGTATCGCAAACACTCTTAAATTTGACGTGATTATTCGTTTCATTCTGAATTGTTAACAAAGTTAATATCGTATAACAAGTTATCTCAAACTCTTTTAAGGAGTGCGTTGTGTCACGCCCCGAGCCTACACCCTGGACGTGGCCGGCACTCGAAGACCATTTCTGGTCCCCAAGCAAACCCTCATCCTGGCTGACTCCAAGCGGAATACTAACTTAAGCATACAAGAGCTTAAAACTGAATAAGAGTTTATAAACTCAACTTTATAAATCTTTAACTCAAAAGAAAACTCTGTATAATAGAATATATATACAACTCGCCATAAAAGGCAACTTTAGTCTTCAAAACATTTAACAAAATAAATGAAGAGACTTCTGAAACTCTATTGTCTATCTATGAAGCCTCTAACTGATAAAGATGGAAGCCGGGACAAGACCCACGACCTCCTAACAACTGATACAACTGAAAGGTAAATGAAATCCTCCGGAAGCAAAGAGGCTTGTCATAGCTAACTGGAACTCCCGGATGTATCAACGAATCTCCTGTTGATGATCCTGAATACCTGTGTCTGCATCATAAAAAGATGCAGGCCAAATGGCTCAGTACGTGGAATGTACGAGTATGTAAGCTAGAAAGCTAAACAACATAGGCTAGAAGAAAAACTGGAATAAATTGAATAACTTACCTCTTTTCAAACTTTCTCAACTCAAGGAATACCCAAAACTACTCAAACTTACTCAACTCAGAAGATAGATACTGGACTCAGAGACAGATACTCAACTCAAAGATAGATACTCAACTCAAAGATAGATACTCAACTCAAGATAGATACTCAACTCAAGGATATATACTTAACTCAAGATATATACTTAACTCAAAGATACTTAACTGAAGGATACTCGACTCTTGAATAACTGAACTCAACCTGACTGACTTCTTTCAATATAAGGCAATTTAAAACAAGTGCGATATAAAGAAAGACTGTTTAAAACATGCTATAAACTCTGAGTGTATACAAGGATACAATAAGCCTGAGATGTATATAGAAATACAATTGAACTGATGTATATAAAATACAATAATTTCTGTGTATGAAAATACAATAACTGCTGTGGGAGTTTCTCTAACCGACAACCATCACATAAGAGCTATAGTGATGATACAGCGATCGACCTCACGCTGCCAGAGCATCTTATACCCGGCCAAAGGTATAAGACCTGAACTGCCTAATGGATCCACTAGTCTAATCTGAAAAGGATTCATCTAAAAAGTATGATCCTTTTCTACCCATGGTGGCTAACATGGTTCTATGGGGGCTGTGGGTTCTTTGAACGCTCCCCCAATTCGGTGCTCGATACTACTCCCAAAAATGTACTGGCTCTTATGTTTTTAAAACATATTTCTTCCTGCTGATATGAGATAATTACTCAAAAACTAGCTCGAAGGCTTTTTGGAAATCTCAGTTTCCAACCTTGTTTAAATGTAAAAACATTTCTTTAAAACTTCTTTGGGAATACATAGTTCCCTAATAACTTTGAGAAAAGAACTCAACTTTAAACTCTTTACTTTACTTGAACTCTTGGCTTGATGTGAAACTCTTAACTTAACATGAAACTCTTAACTTTTGACTTGACTTGAAACTCAATACTTAACTTGGAACTTGAGCCTTAGAATGAAGTTAAAACGCTCAATGAAGACTCTTGGAAAACCTTAAAGACTTGCTTTGACTTACTTACTTCTAAGCTTGACTTCACTTGACTTGGAAACTAACTTCACTTGAATTGGAAACTAACTTCACTTGACTTGGAAACTAACTTCACTTGACTTGTAGTTTTACTTGACTTTTGGAAGTACCTTGGAGTGTTGGAAACAACTAGGAAACATAGGTATAATACCTAGGAACATGTATAAAAAAAGAAATGGTGAATGAAAGGGAAGGATTGGTGTCCTTGGCACTAGGAGAGGTGCAACAGCCCAGCCCCTTTTTCCCCAAAAATCCGACTTTTTCCCCTTGTTTCTTTCCAATTCTAAACCCTCTCAACCTCAAGGTTTCAGCAGCAACACTTAGAATCATAAAGACCCTTATTATACAATAGATTCAACTCAAAAATCACAGCCAGAAATCTGTACTAAATCAGCAAGAACTTCAACACAACACCACTACAACTTCAACAACCAATAAATCTTCTCTTGGAATTAAAAACGAGTTGGTGTGTGGGGGTATGAACCAACCAACACTAAGGATCATAAAATCCCTCAATATACAATAGGTCACAACTCAAATACACAGCCCAATCCTGTCCCACAACCAACAATAACTTCAACAACACAACTAACAACATCAACAACAACTAACAACTTCAACAACTTCAACAACAAATCCAATCTCTTCTCAAATCATAAAAACGAGCTTGGTATGTGGGGGGGAAAGGATAAACCCACACTAAAGACTCACATACCTGATTAGGGATCACCCCCGACAAAAATCCACGACGATCCTTAGCTTCTTCTTCTCTTTCTCCTCTTCTTTTCCTCTTCTTTCTCTCTTATCTTCCAAGCCCTAACTCTCACTCTTACTCTCACTCTTTAAAATGGGACAAAAATGATCCAAACATCAGTCTAACACCTCAATATAACCCAAAGAAAAGATTAGGGAAAAGACCAAAATACCCTTAAAATTTTCGGACTAAACAAACTGCACTGTGCGACTGTGCGACTGTGCCAACAACCCAACTTCCAAAGGGCATAAGTCACTCATACGAACTCGGAATCAAGCAAACTCCGCGGCGTTGGAAAGATCATTCCAAGGGCTTTCCAGACATAACTGGAAATTCGCCTAAATCATTTTGAGCTAGGAGATACGACTGCTCAAAGTTGACCAAAACCTCACCTTTTTTCCATAGCCAAATTTTCCAGATTCTTTCCAAAATGACTATTTCCAATTCAACTCTTCTTGGAACTCAATGTGCTACACCTAGGGACCTTAACTTAACACTCAAGAAATTTTTTATTCCTCGGTAAAATCCCACTCCACATGAAGGATGGCTCGAGTCTTAGTTCGAAAATTCTCTGGGGTGTTACACGTTGACTCTTAATAAGTATTAGTTTCATTCTGAACTATTAACAGAGTTAATATCGAATAATAAGTGATCTCAAACTCTTTTAGGAGTGTGTGACTCTTAATAAGAAGCATTTGTGTATTTAAGGTTAGTTAATCAAGAAGAAGGGTGTTTTTTAAGGTTTTAACCTTTGTTTTCGCGTTTTCCATGTCGAAGGCCAAGAAATTGAAATATTGTCGTCCCGATTGGAATACAGAATACTGTATACAAATATCAAAATTTGTCAAGAAATAAGTATCAATAACCATAATACTAATTCTACGTATAATTTACCCACATTATACATTAAATTTCGATTTGATACCTTGTTTACTGGACGAATCGATGAACAAGAGCAAGCTCATAGCAGAGCACTCCATATCAAACTTTTCCATTCTGCTACATACATGTCACGTGAAAAGTTCTTTCGTTTTCTAGAAGATAATCTCTAGCACAAATTATGGGGTAAAGTGTTTGATAAGATTGATGCTATGATTGAAGAAATCCATGGAATTATTGGCGATAAGTGTAACAAGGGGCGGCAGCGCTTGGATTTGAGCGTTCATATGATTTTATTCGTGTCAGACATGGTGAAGTTGTTATGGAAGATGGAGAAGGATGAAAGTGATTGTGTCAGTTGTTTCGAAGAGCTTGGAAAGTATGAGGAGAAGCACAAGCAGGCGATGTGCATGCCGTGTTCACATATGTTTCATGAACATT